TGTAGGAGTGCCAGGGAAAGTGGGATGCCCTCGGGTCATTTAGGTGTCAGAATTGAAATGAATAATAATAACCAATCCCCTTTTAGCTAGCAATCAGCTAAATATCTCATCAAGACTGAAGCCCTATGCGAAATGTGAAATGTACAGTAGAGGTTCTCTATGCAGAGCAGCGATTTGGCACTGGTGACTGCTGCTTAAGCCTCCCATGTGTTAACCAAAAACGCCCTTGCTTAACTCCTCACTTCTGTATCCACATCCAAAATAGTACATTATTTTTGTATTTATTCAAAAGCAATAGATCATGTATTTTTGTTGCTGAGAAAGCACATTCTGAAAAGTGGGGCGTGTGGGCGGTCTATGACCAGACTAAATAACTATAATATCAGTAAATGACTGTAAATTAATAAATGCACTAACTATGAACTCAGTCAGTGATCATCATAGGGCAAACACCCACCAATATCAACACAAATCAATAAGGGTTTCAGAGAACCACCTTATTTATTTTAATGGCTCAATTAGTTTGATAGTACTCACATGTGTGATGTATATTGTAAACATTTCTTGAGCAGTTTCAAGAGCCATCTCCTTTTACTGTAAGTAAGGGTTAAAAGTTGATGATATTTTCCCTGTGTCCAATGACCTGTATAGATGTCCCACATCAACATCAGGGCCACGTGTGTTAAGTGAGTACCTTGATATAGAGCAGGAGTGCCCAACCAGTCGATCGCGATCGACCGGTCGATCGCGGGGAGATTCCCAGTCGATCGCGAGATGTGTCTAAAAATAGAACAACAACATTCTGTTTTATCGTTAATAGGCGCATTCACACTGCGGTACTTTTCCCACAAAGGTTCATGTGAACTTAGTTCATGTGAACTCTTTAGTTCGCATGAACTAAGTACAGATCGCGTTCACACTGGAAAAAGTCCCTGGGGGTGGATTAGGCAAATTAAGCCGCTGACGTCACTTCTTCTTCTTCTGCTTTGGGTTTACTGGCAGGCCGCAAACCACTTCACGGCGTATACTGCCACCCGGAGTCCCCGGCCGGAGGTCCCCGGAGTTAGGGACTGGCTTCAGTAGAAGCTGCTGGGACTCCCAGCAGCTTCTACTGAAGCCTTCCGAGTAAATCGCCAGAACGCCGACACCTCCTCATCTCCACCGCTCCCATGTTTTATTTTGTATTGTCATAAGTTAGTCTCTCTGCGTTTCTGCGCTGGGCTAATGCTAATGCTAATAATCAATCAATCAATCAATCAATGTTTATTTATATAGCCCAATATCACAAATGTTACATTTGTCTCAGTGGACTTTACAGTTTGTACAAAATATCAGTATGACAATACGACACCCTCTGTCCTTAGACCCTCACATCGTACAAGGAAAAACTTCCGAAGAAAACCCACAGTTTAAAGGAAAAAATGGGAGAAACCTCAGGGAGAGCAACAGAGGAGGGATCCCTCTCCCAGGACGGACAGACGTGCAATAGATGCCGTGTGTAAATAATAATGCTAATGCGAGGATAATAAAATGGCGGCTTCACAAAACTTTTTGGGAGTTTTACGGGGCGTGGTTTGCAATCCGCCCAACCAATCAGAAATGTAGCTCTTTTCTCACAAAAGAGCCGCTCGAAAGTCCCTGCTCTCTAGCAGGGACTTTCGAGGGGGTAAAAAGGTTCTCATGAACTAATTTTTAGTACCGGCTCTTTTTGGTGTGAACGCGATAAAAGAGTTCACATGAACTAAGTTCACATGAACCTTTGTGGGAAAAGTACCGCAGTGTGAATGCGCCTAATGTCCTGTAACATAATCTTCCTGTGCCAGAATAATGCACTTGAACGCATCAAAGCTTTGTGATTGGCCGGCGTGACCCCATGTGTCGGGGCGTGGCTGGTGGGCAGTGGGCACTATTTCGCTGACGTTGTCCGTGTCAACAGGAGTGACAGTCCGCACACACACAAGACCGCAATTATGGCAGAAGCAAAAAAGCCCAAAATATATAATTTTCACTCCGAGTGGGAGGATGATTATTTTTGTATCTATTCCAATTCAAAGTCCATCTGTCTCATCTGCAATGCGAGCGTGGCTTTACCGAAGAAGGGTAATTTAGGAGCGGCATTTCAAAACAGTGCACAAACGCTACGAGACGGAATTCCCTTCTAAAATTCTGCCCTACGCTCCCAAAAGGGGAGGGGCCTGAAAGGACAGCTAAATGCACAGCAGTCCATTTTCACCAGGCCCAACAACAAGAGCAAGGCTGCTACCAGATCATCTTATCGTGTCAGTCACGTTCTTGCAAAACACATGAAGTCTTTCAAAGACGGCGAAGTTGTGAAAGAAGCATTCCTGGAGGCTGCCGACGCGCTTTTGGGGGACAGTAAAAATAACAGTAGCATTTCAACAGGTTTTTGATATAATAAAAACTCAAGTTAGATACCGTTATTAATCAGCTGTAAGTTTTAGTTTGTTTGAACTTATTCATTATAATGAATGTACAAAATGGTATAAGAATGCAAACATTCAGATCTGTTCTGTTTAAATTGATTATAGTCTATTATCAATTCAGGTTAAGAAACTAGTGTTGCTTGCATCCTATTTTAAAGGCATTTCTTTTTATACTCTACTAAAATGCAACAAAAAAAAGGTTTGATTCTATTAATTTTGTCTTTTTTATTGCACTTTGGCAGCAGATCCCTGTGTAGCTTCAGATCTGAGTTGTCTTATTAGTCAGCCGAATGTATACTTTTGTAGCAACACTATTTTTATGCAATGGCAAAGAAAGGGTTCAGAGTATTTTCTTTTTTCCCTCTGTCATATGTGGCAGCACTGTCCAATGTTTCTTGAAAACATTACCCACTGTAGTATGTGACGTGTGAATAAACTCCAACTCTGTATCAACAACACTGTTGTGTAACTTCAGTTAAATACTTGTATGTGTGTAGATTAGAAAGAGGTAAGATAAAGGATCTGCAGTATTTTATGAAGTATTCATCGTACAAAGGTCAGTTTTATACAAGTAGAAGTGTGTATTTTCCTGGTAGTAGGCTGTCAGTAATGGCTACGCCTCTCTATTTGGACTGGTAGATCTCGGCAGACTGGCAAATTTAAAAGTAGCTCTCGGTTCAAAAAAGGTTGGGCACCCCTGATATAGAGGTTTAAATGGACAAGTGAGCAGAAAACTATCTGACACTTGTGACAACCCCATATGTCCGGTGGATTGTAAGGATCATAATGGGTCATTCGATTTGTTGTCAAAGGGTCCCAAACAAATTGTCCCTCTCTGTGTTGGGAAATGTGTAGCTAACCTGGTGTAAGTGGAACTATATATACCATATTTTACTGCATCCAGTAGCATGAGAAATGTGTAGCCTAATGTTGTTATGGCTACCTGAAGTCTAATTCATGCTTATTTAGATGTCATTTTAAACGTGTAACCATGGTCGCATACGGTCTTGGCGACGCTTGGATAGACTCAAGATAAAAGTGTTCCATCGATCCTAAAGGTGTTGCTGTCAAGAAATGTATACAAATTGTGCAAGAGGCTTGGAATGATCATATTTAGTATTTCATAAACTGTAAGTCAGTCACAGCACATCAACGTTTTGCACATCTGTAGAGTTGATATAATTGTTGTTTCAAGCAACAACAAAAAAGCAATGTTGACTGTAATGGTAAAAAAACCCACCAGATTCATTTCAATTAAAAAAAGATGAGCATTACAAACATAGCTAGTTGTATAACATCGTATGTACTTCCTGTATCCTTAGTGGGCACGGTCTCATTTGGCTATGTATATCTTATTTTGCTCCAATTTGATATGTACACACCTAAAAAACACATTTGACATTCTGAAGATTAGTTAGCTATAGTGTGTTAGCGAACGTTTGCTAATTAATGAAAGCAGAATATTTTGTATTGTCTGTACGGAAGATATGTAGCTTGTGGAAAATGGGTCTAATATTTACTTTAGTGACTATGGGGTCACAGAATTGGTCCTAATCTGTGTTTGAGTTCACTCCCTTTAGAGATAATCGACTTAGACCTGCCGCTAGTCTCATAAAGATGCCGGTCAGTGGCCCAGCCCTGTGAACAATATATAGGAAATTGTCTCTCAGTGTGTATCCCTTCTAAATAATGTCTGCGTATATATTTTTGGGAGACATATTACATGACTGACGTCCGGCAAGGCCGCCGTTTGAGAAAGAAACCTGCCAGCAACTCCGTCACATGTTCGAATCATAGGGTTCGAATATGTTGCAGAAAATTCTTGCTAATTTAGTAAACATACGGGTATTTCACACATTTTTAAGTAATTTTGAACTGAGCCTAAACTAATTCGTTCACGTGGTACTTAACCCCCATGACTCTTAATTTAAAACAAATCCTGAAACCACCCCTGCTTTAAATGAGTAGCCATTGTCTGTGGCCATACTAAATATCATAATGTGTTGGTTGACCATAACAATGACAGTTTTCTTTACCTAATAAGGTGCGGTAATTATTTAGTGATTATGACAAAATAATGTTTGCTACATCGAGACCACCTCACAATATGGGAAATAATAAGCTACCTTCCATAGGATGGTGTGAAATCCATTTAGTTTCCTATGTTTGAGTCATAGTCTCTAAACCAAATTGGAGTCGAAGTCCTGGAATGTCTTTTTAGGGGAAAAAAAATAACGACTATTGCAAGCCTCCCAAAACGAGCCGGCTGCAGTCGTTATAAGTGCAGAGCCTGTACCCGGCATGCCTTTCCCCTATCTTCCCCCCTTTTCTCTCCTCATGTTTCTGAGGTCAGTAAACAAGAAGTGTGTGTTTCCCTTTAAGGAGCCCCCACCGTTTGCACAGGGGAGGGAGGAGGAGCAGGTCTGCGGAACAGCGGCTGAGGAGGGAAAAAAATCCAACAGAGGACGGTTTCAAGTCGCCCCAACAGAAACTGTGCCTGATTTGTGGCCAATGTTGGAGATGTAAAAAAAAAAAAAAAAAAATAGAAGAGAAAGAGAGGGAGGGAGAGGAGAGAGAAGGAGGAGGAGGGGGAGGAGGAGAAGGGGGGGGAGGAAAAACACTAAAGGGGTAGCTATGGAGATGGAGCGTTTTCCTGGCTGCTTTCTTTGACAGGTGTTGAGTGGGGCAAAAGTCTTAAAACAGAATCCAGCATGTACGCCAAAGGTAAAGGAGCTGTCGTCCCTTCCGATAACCAAGCGAGAGAAAAGTAAGTGAATTATGCGCTAATATGTGACACTTTACCTGCTTATCATGCACAGGCGTGTGGGACAGGGAAGGGGAGTCCAACTTTCAAAACTAGGTAATTTAAAAGCAGTGTACTGTACTAAAGTGCGCTCGTGCCTGCTTGTCCCCCTCCCCTCCTACCACCTTAGAGGTGCGTCTCTTAAACTTTTTTAAATGTTTACCTTTTGTTTGCACTTTCGCGTTTTTCTTGCATGGGACCAATAGTGTGTCTTCGTGCAAGGCGCGTACACTTCTTCTGTAACTTGGTGCAGCATTTTGAGTGCAACAATATATTTTATGTTTCGCTTCTGCAGCGCTGCAAGTTGAGAAAGCGTTTAATTTTGGGTTAAACATGTTCCTGTGTGATCGTCCCTGTGCGGACTGCTGCTGCTCGGTCGTTTTTTATCTTACACTTTAGGAGATGAAGCTGCTGCATGGTTGGATTATTGTGTGTTTTAGAAATATAAACGGGTAGATTGCTCGGGACATTTGATGTATGTTTTTAACGTGAAGCCGGTAGTATCTAAACCTGGCGATGTAGGAAAAGTTTGGTCCCATTCAGAGATCATACAGCGGTGGTAAACTTTTTAGCATCCGTTCACATGGAGGAGAGTCATTCTGCAAGGAGCCTTTATCTGATAATATTTATGATTTATATTATAAGACCTATTGATAAATGTTCGCATCTACACGAAATCTTCCTTATTGTGTCTGAAAATAATGCGAAAATAATGTTTTTGTGTGTTTTTAAATATGGGTTATTTCTATCATGCCCTTTGCTAAATTTGGTGTTAAATGTTGTTTTTTTAACATACGAACATCAGTCATATCAGTGCATGAATTAGTGTTTTTCTGTGTAAGACTATGTTACTTTAAAATGTCACTGTCCCTTGACTGAAGGCTGCTCCTCATGCCTGCTCTTCATATCGACGCTGCCTCTAATATTCCTGTATGGATCCATTCAAAGATGTAAACCTGTATTGCAAACCCACACTTTAAAATTAGTAGTATTTTATCAAAATGATCTATTTTAAAGGATTAAACAGTCTGAGGTGAGAGAAGTGAGGTATAGTTTCCCTGCTGGGATGCAATTGTGATCTAAAAACACTGTCCAGTCCTGAGAGGCTGTGTTACACCGCTCCTCATACATCTGTAATAGAAACAACATTTCTTTAGAGACTCTTTTGTGTTTTTTTATGCATTGCTGTGTCACATTCAATTGATTAATCTTTCTAGAGATGTGGCTCGCTTATGTGCTTAGTGTAAGCTCCCTCCAATATGACTTTGTACACTTTTAGTGCCACAAGCGTTTAATTTCACTCAGAATTCACATCAGATTATTGGAAAATGTAGAAGCTCCGTGTGTGTGTGTGTGTGTTGAGGTGGAGGAGTGAATCCTAAATGAAAACAGTCCCATGTGGTTTGATGAACAGCAGGCAGAGTGACCTTTGAACCAGCATATGATGCTTTAATATTGCATATGAACCATCAGCAGACGTTAGGCTGCTTCCACACCTGTTTGTGTGCCTTGGCTGCGTTGCTTTATTTACAACGAGCAGGGGATGATTTAAATGCTGTGTTTTCCGACTGTTTTTAGTTGCACTTGCTTGCCCAGGGAGTGTGGATTATGTTCCATGTGTTATTGGGAGTGAAATCAGTGCAGAGGCAGCATGTATTTCAAATGATAGTGTAGGAGGAGGATTAATAATTGAACTCATAAGAAATACAAGTCTTTTGGGGGCTGGAAATGATGAATCCTCCTGTGTTAAGGCTGCTGAAAAACAAAACTCTGGATTTGTGTAGAAACCGCACAGGAAATATCATTTAATCCCATGTATCCAGTGTGTGTGGGGGGGGGAGGGCACACGTCACAGGCCTATAGGTGTTGCACAGACATAATGGACGGCGCTTGCCCTCTCTCCTCACCTGTCTTGTCACCCTAACCCACCCCGCAGGGCCAACACATGTTTCCTTGTAAATGTGGAGCTCACAACAGCTGCCTGAATGTATCACTGAATTAGCTCATATTCATATTTACATATTCATATCTGTCTTTACATATTCAGATAGTGAATAAAAGGAGCACCCCGGATGGACTTCAGATTGACAGAGTATTACAGCTGCAGTGCTAGAGGGTTGAATATCAAGTCAAATATTTAAATAATTAAATAAAAATGGATTATAATATATATAAATCTCTCTTTTGGTTTGAGTAAAGTTGTAATCAGTTTTGTTCAGCTGCTTAATTCAACTTAAAATAATGACATTACTGTATAGCCACTTTTAATTAAATATATATATAAGGTGATTTATTCCTATGGTTCACACTAAATACTTGTACATATACATAACTGTCTTCGCTCATTTCGGTTTATATGTTAATACTACTTAATGTTTTACTTAATATTATTTTTATTCTTATTCACACTGCATATTTGTTTTTTACTTTTATTCTCAAATATATTCTATGTTTCAATCTTTTTCTTTTGCTGTTATGAACCCTGAATTTCCCAACAGGGATCAATAATGGTTGCTCATATCTTATTTGATCTAATCTCATTTTACCTTATGTTTGTATATAAGTTATGTGGTAATGCCTTTTTAAGCTTAATAGTATGTTTATTTGAGACTTAGACACATCATATTACATAATACACAAAAGTGGTTAAAGAGAATAATTGTAGTATTTGTCCATAGCTTTGTCTATAGTTAAAAGCAATCAGACAGTGAGGGTGTCGGCTTGTGACCACCTGTTGCTTCAAGGAAGAAGAGGAAATATTGTGTAGTTCCTGCAGAAACTATAGCTCAAATATTTGTATACACATGCAGTATTTCAAACAGATTTTATTCTTCAACACCATTTGATTTTGTTAGTAGTCTGGTGTTAGTAAAAGCCAGATGCTGAAGCTTTTCAGGGACATTGTGGATCAACCTCCCTCTTAAAGTTTTTTAAACAGCCAAAAGAAACAGTATGTTCATAATCTTTTTGACGCCACTGTCTCTTTAAGTCCAAGACAATCTGAAAAAGTTGTAGTAGCACAGATGCTACAAAGTTGTCCGTGTTGCTTCATTGTTTCTATTAGCTCCTGATGTTGCAGTCCTATTGCAAGTTGTTATGTCTGTTTTAGTTTGGAGTTGTTATTTGGTACATGTCATCTTGTCTGTACCGATGTAGGCTCTTCAATCTAAAATGCTTATAAGAAAAAGGCAAAAGCCCCCTTCCAGTGCAGCATGTCCTTCAGATACCTGCATAGTTCTGAGGTTTGCTATACAACAAATATACAAACTCCAATGTAAGTGTGTACATCACACAGCACAAAACTGCAGTTGTGTGTTTTTATTTTCTTCAAAAACCTTGAAACCAAGGCTCAAATCCAAAGGGTTTGTTTAGAAATGCAACATAAAACCGTCACTTTTACATTCAACATCCAAGGCTTTGCCTAGTTTAGATCCAGATCCCACACAGGTAGCAGGCACATGGGGGGGGGGGCTCTTTCTTTTGCAACTCCTTGAGAAACTTGTGATCAGACAGTCTGTATACAAATATTATAAAGGTAGAGGAAGAATTGGTGCCCTTGTGAGCAAAGAAATTAATTACCCTGCACACTATTTTTCCAGCGTTTAATTTAATTTGAACAGTAATACAACAGTTTCTATATTAATGTCACCTTATTATTCAGTAACTGGCACCTCTTTGAAATACGCACTGATGAATCTGGCTTCCTAATTAAAGGTGCCCTTCACAAAACATTAAATAGCTTGATCAAACATCTCATTTAAAAAAATCACGTTCTTCGTTTCTAAAATAATTCTGCTCCCCGGTTTGTTTCCTAATCCTCTGTGTTTGTTTACAGATATTTCTGTGCGATTTCAAGTGTTGTTGGATTTGTTTGTGAAAAGAACTTGAAGTTAATCAGCTTGTTTTGAATACAGGGTTCTTTACATCCTCCGCTCCTCCTCTGGCTCCTCCTTCGTATTTACATGCAGTTTAATAGGGATCTTCAGGTCTGAATGCATGGTTTTGATTCTACACAGATGCCATCTGCATTTGAGTCTTTTGAAAGAAGCATAAAGCGCTACGCACTAACACATGTAGAAACATTGCACTAAAAGAAACCCTTGATTTACCCTCGGCACCCTGTGGTTGACTGCTCTCATTCAGATATGTCAACAGTCAATTAATGCTGCCTTTCGTCAGCTGCTCTGGGTGCATCCGCACACATTTGTAAGTTTTCTCACTTGAAATAAAAGAAACGGTATAAATATTGAGGCTCCGTGCCTGAAGTTGTTAATCAGTTTGGCAACAGAGAGCTCAGAGGAGAATTATGTGCGTCTTGTATTAGCATAAGGAGAAAAGCATCTGCCTGAACAGACATCAGGTACATAACAATCATGTGTACCTAAAGATAAACATATCAACATTATCGGATTATTGTTGTTAAAGCTTCATCATAGTATGGTCCTCAGTAACTGCTGTGGGAGGGGGCTGCTGTGATAGCAAAACTATGTCAGCTATGCCAAAAACAAATCACAAAATATTAATACTGTCTTTCCTGTAAAACTGAAAATGAACAATTTATACTCTGAGGTTAGAGGACATTTACAGGTGAGTCAGTCGATAGGTAAATATCACAGAGTCATGCTGGTAGAAAGGGAGAGGACTAAATGTTTGTGTGTGTGTGTGACAGTGTGGATTAACCCATGCTAAAGCCATGTGTGTTTACACGCGTGTTGACACTGATTTGTTTTGACAAAGGAACTGCCATAGCAAAGCTAAGTAAATACAAACAGTGTGTGCAGTGGGAATAAGAGTGAAACGGTGCCACAGGTGTCTCCAACATCACATCTCTCATTCAGTGATCCACACCATTTTCACACCTATACTGCTTTAAGATATCAATATTTAATATTGAGCAAATAATGTTATGTGTTTTACTTCAGTTCTAATATATGTTACATTCAGTGCGTCACTAAATATATAAATGATGCATGCTATAGATTATTCTATATTATTCTTTGGCGAAGGATAATGTATAAAAAGCAGACGCAGTAATGAGCCCTCACTTCCTCCATTCATACCTTACTTCACCCAGCCCCTGCGCTCTCTGCTGAATTATTGAAACGAAGACATGAAAGTTAATTTGCTAACTGTCTGTGCTTTAGCTGGCTTAACTCAGCCGAGATGCCCTTGTCCCTGGAGGCGAGCGGAGGAAAGGGAAGGCTGGATAGGGCGGCCTGGGGCTAAATGTCAGGTGTGTTTCCTGGGGACGAGGCAGTGGGAGAGATCTCACTGATGTGTGGACATGGAGCAGCGCACTATAGGCCACACAAGGCTTTGGTTTAGCAAGACACCTTCAAGGAAGACAGAAACAGGAGTGCTGTTTATCATTCATTTATTAATCTCATTTAGAGTAAGAATATATTTAAAACACAAAACCCGACCCCCAGATCAGTTCTTGGAGTGATGCAGGAATGAGTCCTAAAACCCGGAAATGAGTTGGCATTTTATCCCATCTGGTTCCCTCGTCTCGACTGTTCCTTGAGTGTGTTCTCAGTTAGATGCATGAATTAAAGGTGCCCTATTATACTGTTTTTCATCAATATATTATAGGTCTCAGATATATACAAAACTCTGAAGTGTTTGGCTCCAAACACCAAACAGATCATTGTAGCGTCCCATAATCCCCTCTGTTTCAGCCCTGTTTCAAAAGTGCTGATTCTCTGTCTGTTACTTTAGATGAAAATAAGGAGCCCCTCCCCACGCCCCTCTGAGAGATATTTGGTTAAAAAGAACACAATGGTGCTCTAGGAGGAGATTCAGGTGATAAGGGGGGGGGGGGGGTTACCTTGGTTGGTGATTGGCTAATGGTTACACAAGCCAAAAAATCGTTATGACATCATAAAGTGGCCAAAATCTGATCAGCTCATTTTCAGACAGGTTTTTATAGAAATGGATCAGGACAAAAAGTGAGAGAATCTTTTTCCACAGAGGGGACACATGTTGATGTATAAAATACATGATAAAGTGGATTTTGCATAATAGGTGACCTTTAAAGGCCGCATATAAGGCTTTTTGGGGGGTTTCTCTTTCCTGTAGTGTGATTTGTGCACGTAAATGCTCTGCAAAGACATCAATCCCAAAGCTCCCTTACGCTTCAAAACCCATAACATTGGTGCTAATATTTCGAGATTATCCTGCCTTACAAAACAAATAAGAATCATAAATGTGTGACAAGATCCTATCCTCTGCAATATTTTTGAAATACAATGGAAAAATCCCATTGCTTTTTGTTGGGGAAGCCCTTGCAATGCTCATTTCTGGGTTAGCCTAAAAAATAAGTCATCATTGCGCCGCTCCATTGAAAACTGATGTCTTTGAAGAAGTGCGTTAGTTCAATGCATCTTAATAGCACTGAAGATGGGTGTTTGTTCAAGCATCATAGTTGCAACATAGGGAAAGAAAAGGACCAGCACCAGTTGCTCTTTGTTGGAAAAACTGTTGCAAATGACCTTTAAGCTTCAGAGAGGAATCGTGAGAAGATGCACTGTCTGGCTTTGTGTCTCTCTTAATATAAAGTCACAAAGCAGCTTTATATCATAAGCTTTGACATTTAGTCCGCCGTCAAAGCACAGGTCAAATATTCTTCCTCCCACGCAGACAGATCTCCTTCTTCTCATCATTTAATTTGCATCAGAATACTTTTATTATTACGTTTCCTCCGTGGAAGTCGATGAAGCAGAGAGTAAAATGCGATGAAGAAATGTGAGATGTTGAGTCGACTGCGTGCGGGGGGGGGTTTGTCTTGTAAGCATCTCATCTGTTATTCCTGAGTGACACGTGTAACTGGTGCAGGGTTCACAGGGAAGGAGTTAAGGCTTACAGTATCCAGTGGAAGAAGTCGAGGCCCTGACCTTTCCTTTCCCTCTGACACAGCTCTCCTGTACAGTAGACCCCCCCCCCCTGGCCTTCCTCAGGCTTTGCTCCAAAAATAATTCTCCACCTCAGCCAAGTTACTGCTTCTGACAGGGTAACAAAAGGTGTCCCCTGTAGCCGGGATTGAATGAGTGTTTTTAAATAATGCATTGCAGCCGGGGCAGGTGCCCATCACTCGGGCACAGAGACCCTCAGATCTCACCAGGCTCTGCCATGAACATTTCATGGCAGAAATTCCATGGAAATATCCTGTGCAGTGCGGACAGGGCATATAGGAGCTGCCGCCGGACGCTGGGTATTTCACACTGCAAGGAGGGCCACATTTCCACCTTTCATAACAGGAGACTCCCACTTTGCCCAACACACAGGACACTTAAACATCCCCTGAGTTGCTCAGGCTGACGGAGCAAAAACAAACATGGATGGCAACATCAGCTTTACAGTGAATGAGCAAAAACAGAACAAATAATCCAAAATATTCACTTTTACAACCGTACTCAATGTCGCCTTGAAAAATTAAAATCACTCTTCGTTAAAAAAAGTTTTTATGTTTTATTTAAGGTTTATATCATTCCTTTAATGTATTAAAAGTGGGGGTATTGCAATATTTAGCTTTAACATTTACATTTTGATTACAAGTTTATTTGCTTCCAAACAAAAGAAAAACCATACAAGAATAATGAATGAATGAAACATAGAAAGAGATAGAACAACAAGCAGGTGATCAATAAAACAGGTGTCATCACATCATATTGCATCCCCAATCATACCTGCAAAACAAACAACATTTTTGAATTTGTTTTCAAGCATTTATTATTAAAAGAGAGAAATATGTCTTTTCATATTTTCCGACAACACGTAATTAAACGTGATGGACTTACTACTAAACACAACACTGATCAGTTTCACTTAACGACACTAGGACAGTCACTCTAGATCAATATTCAACATTTACAAGCAGTTTGCTCCTCCTTGTGACTTCTCATAATCATTTTCTGCACATGTTATCATTGATCAGGCCTTTAAACGTGACGCCTCTTTAAAGAAATACTGACGACATCCTGGAAAAACAAACCCACACTTTAATGAAAACCTCAATCAAGCGTGTTTACACTTTGTATCTGCAATGGGTGTCGATACAGTTTAATCTGATGTAAGAGTGAGAAATAGAGGAGGGGATATCATCTCGTGTCAAATGCTTGTTGAAACTGGTTCGGACCAGATGTGGCACATCATGCTCTTTTTTTGATAGTGATATCTTTGAAGAGCTAAAGACTCAGGCTGCTCAACTCTGGCTCATTGTTGATTCATTCAGTATCGCCTTTAATCAACCCAAACATCATAACTCTGTCTGTATGCATGTGATCAGCATAAAAACAGGAGCACAGCAGACCTGGAGACCGGTGCAGACGGATGATGATGTCTGTTCTGCATCGTAGTGAAAATGTTGAGCTGCTTATCTGTGCTTGTTTTGGGCAAATGTTGCGTTTGTGTGTCTGCAGCTTCTTGTGTAGTCTAATTGAGACTGACAACATACTGAATACTGAGATTTAGTTGCAATGAAAGTAGAAGACGACATTGTTCAGAGCTGTTTAAAGTTGAGATGAGTCGGGTTTAGCGGCTGTAGTTGCTTAGAAACGGTCACTAGTTGAGTAAACAAGGGAAAGACGGTGCCAAGGATGAGTCAACTGTCGATGGAAAAAGAGAGCAATGATTTGGTTCCTCTTTCATAAAAACTCTTTGAGGTGGTTTGATTTTATTTCTCAGATCCAGAACAATCCACAGAAACCTCCGCAACTCTGTACCTTTTTACTTCTTCAGTTACAGGCCTTTTTTTCTTATTTCTCAAAATAGTTCACATACCAGTCCAACACTTGGGATAAGCACTTTCATGGTGAGAGTTGCAGCCGATCCTACTCTCATATTTGTAGGACTTTACATTTTTTAGTGAGAGCCAGAAGACAATAAGCTTAGCTAAGTACAACGACTGCAAACTGCTAATACGCTCTGTCCGAAGAAAAACCGGGGCAATTATAGGGCCGGTTCGAAGCAGGAGTCCACTCGGAAACCTGATCTTGGTGTTTCCAGTGCAGAGGTGCCTGCTCTCGTCCAGAATATTGGTTCAACTTGGGCATCGACTTATTTGCCCAGCCATCACCAAGAGTTTCTCAGCTCCTGGTGAGTACAACAACGAGTGAAGTTGTTAGAAAACTCGTGCCCGCATTACATTTGGCTTGAGTTAGAGCAGCATTACCAGAGCGCCAAATGTAGTCGCCATTGTTGTTACTATGAGGGAAATCGATGTTGCTGGGAATGGAGCAATATAAACGGGGACGTCATGACGTTGAGCCCGAAAAGCTCTGGTTAATGGAAAAGAAAACTAGTTCTTAGGAGATTCCCAAGTTGAACCAAGTCTGAACAGCCACTATTGAAAAGGGGTATAATTAACATTATTATTATATTCATTAAAAAAGATTTTTTGTCTGATATGCATTAACGTATATCTGATGCATAGATAGACATCAACATGTGTGTGTGACACCTACATATGACAGGAATCCAACAAGCAGCGCGTTGACATCTGAGAACTTCAGCCACGTCTGGGGATATCTTTCCTCTCCTCTGTCCGAGTTCCTCTCAGTGTGTACGCCGTCTTGTTTTCGGCCTCCGAGCCTCAACAGCAGAGTTCCTCAAACCACAGGGACATGGCTCAGTGCCACCGAGGCTCTTTAGCTCAGAGCTGCAGAGCTTTACATCACACGTTTACAACCCCTCCACAGCGTATATGATGCTCGCTCTGTGAAATCCTGTTTATCCAGGCTTCATCTAAAATGACACACTGATGATTTTCTGCCGATTGTTCGCATTTGTTGAAGTTATGTTGATGGGTTCCTTTGAATTAAATGTGGGTCATGAATTTTCAAAATGAGTGCTGTTATTTTGAGTGAAATGAGGAAGATGATTAGTGTAAAAGTTGGCATCCTTGACACTAATTTCTTCTTTCTCTCTTTCTGTTTTCCAGGTTAGCTTTATATGTGTATGAGTATTTGCTTCATGTCGGCGCACAGAAATCCGCACAGACCTTCCTGTCAGAGGTAAGCTTTTCTTTCAGTATGACTTCCTGTCTCTAAAGCGTGAATGGGGTTCCCCCTCTATTGTATTGCCAGGATTGGAATTCCTGTTATAAATGGTTCTGTGTACAAGCAGCTGTTGAGCAATATTACTAAAAGCCAGGCTCTTGACACTTAAAAACTGTAACAATATTACTACATTAAGGAGCCAAGACTGTTGTTTTTTTACAGCAATGTTCTTTTGAGTGTTTGTTAATTTGGGACAATGTAAACATGACATTGGTTACTCACTATGATTGCCAGCCCTTCATTATTAGATGTAATTTGTCATCATAAACATTGTATAATTAGTGCAGTTTGACATATTGTGGGCATGTGCTGTTGCTCGGTATGACATTTAATAAGTAGAGCCAGTCCCTGAAGTTAAATCGAGTGTACCTTTTTAATATTTGATCATGTGTCCCAGGTATGCCAGACGTCTCATATCAGGCCCCTGAACTGTTGGAGAGGTTAGGGTCTCTAATGTGTTGCATCTTCTTCCTTAATGGACATCCTTCCTGCTAATGGTCCCATGTTCAGACCGTCTCCTTTACAACACCTCTCCTGCACACTGGCTTTATTCAGCTCCACTTAACACACAGAGAGGGCTTTAACAGCAAGCAAAGGCAGGTCTCTATCATTTAATACTGACAGCGTTTATCTGACATTTCATCAGGTGAGCTCAGTGTAGAGTCACTTACGTATAGAGATACTGTAACACCGGTTTAAACTCACACATGCATGCTACTCACATGGAAGAGAGAGTCTAGTAAACAACAAGCAGATCACTGATCAGAATCACAGATACTTACATTTTCTGATTTCAGCACAAGTGCTAGAAAACAAGCTTTGATTACATAATGGAAGTCTTTTTACAATTGAGATTTCTCTAACGGTCTTTTTAAAAAACAATGTTATACCTATTTGATTTAAGGAACAGCTCAACATTTTCATCTAAAAGGGAAAAAGTCAAACTAACTAATCTATACTATACAACTTCTTTATTTTTTAGTAAATATAGAGCTACACCTAGCAGCCTTAGCATTGCGAGTGGACACACGGGAAACAACTAGCCTGCCTTTATTCTAGCTAACTATTACCAAAATATATATTTTTTTCTTTCATTCCTACAAAAACTGTAAAAAAACAAGTTGTAGTTATATCGGGTCGATGTCCTGGACAATTTTCTGGGTAAGCACTGTCACTTCTAGTGCCTGCATGAATCTGAAAAACATTTATTTTGTCTGTGATTTGATTTTTATATTTCCTTTCATATTTTTCTAATTTAAATATGAAATAAATACCAGTATTGCAAGTGTTGCTGGAGCTTCTGTAAGGTTAGCCTATAATAATAATAATAATAATAAAAATGATTTTACCCGCAACCATTTATTTTGAGTCTTATTTTCTGGCCAAAAAGAACCGTCTCTACAAATATAAGATATTTCCTCTTTTGTGTTTCCTGTTATAAATCTATATGTCATCTCTAAGATGTATTTTGGATAAAAACAAAAAAATAGAAATCAAATAAAAAAGTAGAGAAAAATACCTCAAAATCAATGAAAAAATATAATAACTTGCTGGGACGTGGATGGATCAATCAGACAGAAATTGGTTTTGTTAGCTTATATTGTGCAGGGAGGCTGGCAGCAGGGAGTGCAGGACCACTGGAGGCCGACCCAGTTGCCAACAGCCACGAGCGGTCGACTAAAATATGAAGCAAAAATGGGGGGGAGCAGCAGAGGGAGATCAAGTGGTCGAAGCCTCGCTCATTTCAGGGCCCTTGTGGCTGAATCTTCATCCAGAGATTGAGTGTTATTAGTAGGAAGGGGTGAAGTGCTGGGTCACAGGCAACCAGAGGCACACATAAACACACATTAAAACAGGAATTAAGACAACATCTACACAGACAGGAATTAAAACAACATACACACACAAACAGTCCATGGCTACGAGGCAGGCATTTTGTCAATTTGACGCCAGTTGTCTCAAATGCTGCGCCGGCAACACTGTATGGCTTACTCTAGTAATTTTGTTTATCTCAACCTCAGCGTTGTTTCTGTTTAGTTGTCTTTTATGGTCAGAGTCAGTATATTTGGATTAGACTGACAGTAATGGGAACATATCCGTGCAAACAGCAGCTTGACCTCTCACCTTTCCCCCTTCATGCAGTCCTAGCAGTAGGCTTTAAAGTGTTGAGGGATTTCTCACGAGTATTTGAAGAAACAAGACTTGTTTTACTCATCCATGTTAGCAGTCATTCAACACACTCCAGATCTTTGTGGAAACACACACAAACCTGAACACCCTCCACTTGCTCTGATAAAACACAAGCAAATTGAGAAATAGATTCAAGAAAATATACCAACAAAGACATGCTACAAAATCATACAGAATACAACAGAATTAAGTGTTAAAGTTAATTGTTCAATGAGTTGGTTAAATGCTCTGGTGTAGAAAAGCTAGGAATCAGTCCATTACGGCAAATAGTGATTATTTTCATTTTTGGTTAATCTGCTATTCATTCTTGATTAATTGATCAAATATGTTGTCTCTAAAATACCATACCAATTGACTTTTTGTTCATTTAAAATCATAAGAAATGCAGTTTACTAATACGATTGATAAAAGAAAAAGAAAAGCATAAAATCCTTACAAAACCATAGAAGCAGAAAAGGTTTAGTATTATTGCTTTTAAAAATTCTAAAAACGTCAAATTGATTATCAGAAATCAATTATGATTACCGATCAATTATTATATTTAAATTAAATAGAGTTTAAACTTAGTTCCATTTATTTGGTGCGATTTGCAGCGTCGGAGAGCTTATTATATGCTGCACCGTCAAAATGATGATGGGTTTCTCAATTGGCTTGCCTTATATTCGTTAAACCCGATGTATGTGTTGTTTAAGACATAATGATGTTTTCTTTGCCATGCATTGAGATTTCTGAGGCTAAGCACCTATGTACCTCGTAGTCTTTTCCTCACACACACACAGGAAAACACACAGATATGTTTCAATAGATAAGGGAATTCTATCCTCGCAGGTAGACTGGAGAGCAGTGTTGGGACAAAGTAACGCGTTACTGTAACGCCGTTATTGTTGGCAGTAACTAGTACTCTAACGCATGACTTTTAAAATTCAGTAACTCAGTTACCGTTACTACATGGTGCGTTACTCCGTTAGTTTTTTTATATAGTCAACAGCCAGGCGAACAGAGATGAGAACTGTACTTAGATACTTCCTGTGTCACATGCGGAGACAGGCTGTGGGCGTGTTTGTGTTGTTTACTAACAAGACTATCATGGCGGCGGCGGAGCTCAAGTCTAGTTTCTCCACCTGGAGATATTCTCACTATTTCACTTTTGTCGAGCACAAAGAAAAGAACGTTTCTGTTAAATGTAAGTTGTGTCCTGGCGGGTCAAAGATCCTATCTACTGCCCAAACCAGTAATTCAAATCTCTTAAAACATCTGTAAAAACAACATGCTGGGACGAAGCTAGTAGCTAAGACCACAGAGACTCAGCCGATGCCACTCCACCTCCGTAAGCAACAGCGGCTGGATTTTAACCAAGGGACTGCTAGCCAGGGAAAAGTCGATAAAGCCATTGCACGGTATGTTGTAGAACACATGCAGGCTATTGCTACAGTGGAGTCACCCGCTTTCAGGGAGCTAGTTAGCATGATAGCATGTCCGGGCGGCACACGGCATATGGGACGGAAAACTTTTTCCAACTACCTGGAGAAAGAATATACAAAAATGGAAAGCCAGCTAATATCGATGCAATCCAGATTGCATATAATGCATGTTAAGTTGATCAACAGATTGTATTATTCTCCAATGCAATCACAGTACTGAAATGAAGGCTATAAGGGCATTAATGGGAGCCCTTTTTTAAGTAACTAAAACGTTACTTTGCACAGTAACTCATTACTTTTTGGTGTAAGTAATCAGTAAAGTAACTGAGTTACTTTTGAAATGAAGTAACTAGTAATGGTAACTAGTTACTGGTTTTCAGTAACTAGCACAACACTGCTGGAGAGACACACACACACACACACACACACACACACACACACACACACACACACACACACACACACACACACACACACACACACACACACACACACACACCTGCTCATCTAATGAGAGCACTATCACCTGGACTTACTTTCCTCAATTAGCCTCTGTTCCTCTTCAGTGAGAAGCACACAAACAAACACTCACACATACATTCATATTTATAGGATGCCCAGAACACACTCCTGTCCCCGGGAGGACTTTGCCACTCTATGCTCTCCTGCACAGTGCAGCACTCAGCTCTTTAGCAACATTAAATCAACAGGCCCAGCCCACATACGGCACATCACATCACTATAAACTGCACTGGGGAAATCTATAGAGTAGACACTTAAATAGAAATATGAAGCTAGGATCTGATATTCCATATATATAAATAAATATTTAGAAAAACAAAGACAAATCTTACTGCTGTCCTCACAGACCCGGGTGAATCGTGTAGGTTTAACTATGTGAATGTGTGTGTGTGTAGCCATGTCAGTAGGTGTGTGTGTGAAGCAGGGAGAAGGACTGCTATCTCAAACGGCATCTTATCTCACTGTCCAGATTCATGCAGGAGCTCTGCTGGTGTGTGAGGGCAGTGGAGAGGGCCGCTGCTTTAATACAGTCCCGGTTTCTTATCCACAAACTCAGCTCTGCACCGCACTCCACTGCGCTGCCAGTTGGCCTATTTTTTTCTGTCCAACTCTCACTCTGTGTGTGTAAAGTTGGGAGGACAGTTGGGCGAAAAGATTACAATATGCATAAAACATGCAGCGATGTCTAATCCCTCATATCCCTCCTCTGTCTTCTCCTCTCAATCGTCTTTTCCACTCAGATCCGATGGGAGAAGAACATCACACTTGGGGAACCACCTGGATTTTTACACTCATGGTGGTGGTATGTATATGATCCTCTTTCTGTCTCTTGACCACACACACACACACACACACACACACACACACACACACACACACACACACACACACACACACACACACACACACACACACACACACACACACACACACACACACACACACACACACACACACACACACACAAATATATATATTTCAACAGCTGACATTCATTCTGTAGAAGTGCTCTTGATGGACTACAGGAATGTGCAGGGGTGGAGAGGGACAATAATTGCAGGGAATGCTAAGTGCATCATCTCACACGTGTTGAAGTGAGATCCTGGTTTCACTCAGATTGACAAGTGAGACAACTTGCCTCACTCTGTTATTTAAGCTCAACAATTTTTTTTTTTTCTTTCTGCACTGCCAAATCAAAGTCAGAGACGGATCCAACATTGCTTGAGTTTACAAATGTTGACACTGTGAACTCTTGAGCAGACAAAATAGAGCTAACTGCACCCTGGATAACCTCTTAAGTTTTGCAACTACAATCCAATGTAGTGGTGGAAGAAGTACTCAGCTGCTTTACTCAATTAAAAGTAGTCATGCTGTAGCACAGTGTAGAAGTTAGGGCTGCTCGATTATGGCAAAAATCATAATCTCGATTATTTGAGTCAATAATTGATATCACGATTATTTAAAACGATTATCCATTTACATTGAAAGCATCAATTTATTGGAGAAACAACATTTGAACAGTATGTTTTTAACAGTTGATTACCCTGAACTTTAAGTATAATTCAACTGAAAAACCAATTAAAAAAAATTACGATTAAAATACGATTAATTGAGCAGCCCTAGTAGAAGTACAAGTCTCTCAAACTTTTACTTATGTACTGTACTTGCTTTAAGTTCCTGCTTGCATGTACCCATTCATGTACCGACAAGTATATTACTGGATTACTTTGATACTGAAGAAAAGTTCAAACGTGACGATTCTTAAGCAAGTTCTGAGTTGAAAGAAGGTTCTGATAACTTTCTGATAGGAAGGAAATCCTCAGGAGATGTAAGTAATGCTGCATCTACTCATATGTGTATTATGTCCTTTGTCCTCAGATTTGACAGAGTTAATATCATGACAGTGCTATTTTCAACACAAACTGTAACAACACTAAGGGCTTTAAAAATACTTAATTGCCTCCATGAGCTGCGTGTCACTGCCTGCTGCTGCAACTGCTAAGTGAGTTGATGAGCAGCGGGCCAAAATATGCTAACTAACAATGATAAATGTTTTTAGAACCTTGGCGTCTACTTCTCCCTTTCACCTCATTCAGTCTCATCGTTACATCTGTACTGCCAGTTTAAAAACTCCTCTGCCAGTTTAAAAACTCCTCTCCATCGTCCGTCCAGATTATTTTAATGTGATGCTCCATTTAACAGGACAAGGCTCTGACGTGGGTTGTTCCTCTTCTCTTTTTGCCTCTTTAAACAAATCTGACAGATCTCTTAATGCTAGATAAATAAAAGGGTTTTCTATCTGGCTGGAAGAACAGGGGTCAGGGGGGAACACCCAAATGTGTTCCCGTGGATTCCCCCCTTTTTTACAGTTGTCAGAGCAAGAGCTAGAAAATCCAGGCAGTAAAGAGGAAGCTGGGCTGGAAACAGAGGCAAACAGGAGTGGAGGTTGAGAGGCTGAATCCTCACCAAGGCAGCATGAGAGCCAGGATAAGAGCTTTGACAGGGCCCGCTTTGTTTGTCATTCATGCTATCCAGCTCATCCCCAAAGTCCCCTGGCCGGCCCTGTGTAATAAACCCGGACACGCGGCTTCATTCATTCATCCTCTCTGGCCCCAGTGTGTGTTGTAATTGTGCAGCCTGTTGACACGGTTCATAATGGTCCTTAAAGAGCCTGGCTTCCCTCAACCTGACAGCGCTCAATTGGACAGCTACCAGTAATACTGACAGAATGACATACACAAACATACAGCGCAGTGTAAGTTTGCTCTCGCCTCTGACTGAACCAATAAGAGGGCTTAGGGAGACTGGCCGTGTGTGTAAGAAAGAGAGAGAGAGAGTGTGTATGTAAGTGTGTGAAAGTGGAAAACAGAGAGGGAGACTGAGTGCTTAAAGTGTGTGTATGCTGGAATAAGTACTTATAATAGTAGGGATACTAAATTAATAAAGTAAAAGTCATGTGATCGGAGTATTACTTAAGTAAAAGTACAGAAGTATTATTGGCATCAAAACATACTTAAGTGCCAAACTCGTTAAGTGTAACGATTCTGAATCATATACTGTATATATTTATTGGATTATGATTTTTTGATGCATTAATACGTCTATTACAGCTGGTAAAGGGGGATCTGATTTGAATGACATTGTATAAGGCTGCCGGAAAAAACCTAACCTACAATGTCAATGTTTATTTATTAAATTAGATTAGATATACTTTATGATTATTTTTTTTGTCACAGCAGCATGTTAACAAGGCATTGCATATACGTTTAAAAAACAATTAACATAATAAAATAGAAACAAAAAACAAAAAGTAAATATATACATACATACAAACCATGGTAGGCTAATCTACTAACAACATGTTGACATAATAAAGCTTTGTGTTAGCTAGTAATCTGAATATGCAATGTTAATAAACTCTCATATAAATGTAATGGAGTAAAAGTATTATATTGGCTTCCAAAATGTACCTCAAACATTCAGTACGATAAGTGAGTAAATTACATTCATCCACTGACTGTGTGTGTGTGTGTGTGTGTGTGTGTGTGTGTGTGTGTGTGTGTGTGTGTGTGTGTGTGTGTGTGTGTGTGTGTGTGTGTGTGTGTGTGTGTGTGTGTGTGTGTGTGTGTGTGTGTGTGTGTGTGTGTGTGTGTGTGGTGTGTGTGTGTGTGTGTGTGTGTGTGTGTGTGTGTGTGTGTGTGTGTGTGTGTGTGTGTGTGTGTGTGTGTGTGTGGTGTGTGTGTGTGTGTGTGTGTGTGTGTGTGTGTGTGTGTGTGTGTGTGTGTGTGTGTGTGTGTGTGTGTGTGTGTGTGTGTGTGTGTGTGTGTGTGTGTGTGTGTGTGTGTGTGTGTCAGAGAGCGGTTGGAGGGTAGTCTGATGATTAGCCGGGCAGCGTCTGTCTGGGCAGCACGTGGACATGGAGACTCTCTGGGGGGGGGGTCCGGGGGTCGGGAGGGGGGGGGGAGTCCCCTGTCCACACCCTATGCCACCCAGCAGACCCCCTCAGCAACCTCTAGCCTCCCCCAAAACAAAAGCTCCAGATGGTAGGAAAGCCACCAACCTCCCCATCCCTCACCCTTTCGCTCCCCCTCCCTCAACCTTTGTCTGGAGGCCTGTCCCTTTGTTTGCGGAAGAGAGACCCCCGAACGGATTAACTCTTTGCATTCCAGCCTCTTTTGTGTTAAACAGCCAAATCTAAGACCCCGACCCTGGCCCCGCCCCCGTCCTCCCCTCCTCAGCACCTCACTGGGATTTTCCTCCCTCCTGCTTCTGTGGCTGCTTCCTGGAGGATGGCGTTGGTGGTGGTGGTTGTGGGGGGGGCTTCAGAAATAGAAGGCTGTAAGAGGGGGAGGGTGGGGATGTTGGGGGAGGAAGAGAAGAAGAGAAGAGGCAGCCTGGCGGTGGGGGTCACTCATCCACATCTGTTGTTATGGGTGGAAGGGTAAAGAAAGGGCTCAGCCAGGGCTGCAGGTGTTGATTGTGTCATTAGCTCCTTCTCTATTGGTCGCTGCTAGTTGTCTCCTCCTTATCCCCAAATCGATTGCTTTAACCAGTTTTCTCTGGATGGCCACTGAACCCCCCCCACACACACCCCTCACCCCAACACACAAAAACATACACACACACACATTAAAACCTTAGCACAATAACAGTATGTCCAGGGATCCTGTGTGTTGCCTCTAGCTGAGAGTCTTGTTTGTGAGGGGTAGAGAAAACAGTGAAAGTACAGCGGTCTTCTGCTCCTGAATGTGTGGACGGCTCTTTACAAAAACAGGTTTCAGTCTTCTGCACCATTTTCTCTTCTTCCTTTTCCTCCAATATACTCTTCTTGCTTATTTATTCTGCTTTGGTCACATGTCTTTCAAATCGAAGCAGTGAGTTTAAAATACCGTCCACGTTAGCCTCGTAGTTTCAGCTCCAAGACAGAGATGGACCTTTGTTGCAGTTACATCTAAATAACATCCAATAGTAACACTAATACAGTCAATTGTGCTAATTTAAAAGGAGCTGTAAACTGTGAATTTGTATCTGGTTTCACTTGTTGCTACAATTATGCAACAAAACAAAAGACTCATTAAGGCTGGTGTGCCTACAAGCCTGGCATCAATGCATCAACAGTCTTAAGAGTATCTGGAGGTTTTCCTCTTATTCCCACTCCCTTAACATTGCAGCATATTCAAATCCAATCCTAGCGTGTGAGAAATATTACCAAGCAGGCATCAGATATTCTGATCATTCTCTGAAATCAAGGCTTCCCTGATGACTTCTTTGGATAACCTGAAACTGTATGAATCTTATCTCAACTTTTACAGCAGTTGCAAAAATACTTGTGGTTCAGGACAGAGGTGTATTATGCTAATGTTCTGGTTCAAATGTGTATATAGTGTCTCTACTGTCTCCATGTTTTAATGTTCAAAAAGCTCTTTATTTTTCTCATACTGCCTGTGATGCAGCACCTCTTTTCACCCTCTGTCTGAAACCAGAGCCCATTCTGCTCTTATTGGTTAGCTGGTAGGCTCTGTTGTGATTGGTCAACTGCTTAGAGATGTCCCGCCCCTTAGCTTATCACTTACAATGTGTTGGAGCGCTAGCCAATAGAAGCACGAGTTTTGCGTAGTGATGTCACTATATGGCAGTGGCGAGCCGTGACTTTTATACCTAGGCCCTCTGACCTCTGACCCCCCCCCTCGAAAAAAAAGAAGAGATATTACGTCACAGCGTAGACTTCAGCAGAATATCAAAACAGCGGCCCGGGGTGCAAAACGCATCAATGACAGCGACCCAATACCACACAAAACAACACCATTTATATAAACACCTATCATGACAGGGCACCCACAGCCAAGTAACAATTACAAATGAATTAAGTCGGCACGGCGGCCCACATTGAAAATGACTTAGGCCTAGCTTTGATGATCAAATCACTGAAACACAAAGTCCATCCTCCTGTCCTTTTGGATGAAACTTGCGGGTCATTCAGCTGATCCTTTGCCACTCCAGTTTATCATTGTAACTCAATCTTGAAAATGACTCGGTTAATAATTTCGCAACGATGTCCTCACTATCACTGACATGTGCCAGCCATCATGAACGAACTTATGCTAATTATAAATCTATCCATCATAAATCTATCGATTAGATTTATGATTCGAAAATAATAAAAGTAGGGTAGAAATGTGGATATTATCCGGCTGATCAAAACGTGCATTTATCTAACAGGTTCGTTTTCCACAGACCTTATTTCAAGCTATTTTCCAAAATCCTATGGAGAAATCCCGTTGCTTTCTGTCGAGGGAATCCGAGCGAAGCTTACTTCCGGGTTTTAGGATGCGTCACTGCACCACTTGCATAAACCTCACAGCGGGCGGAACTTGTCATAAAGTCCGCGAAAATAAAGCCCGCCCATTTAGAGGGAAGATATGATTGGTCAATTGTACTGTCATTTGACATTACTCTGTAGCGGGCCCTCTGTGAATGTAGAGAGGGACCAACAAGCTCTCCGGTCTTCACATAACCTTCATTTAACCCTTCACATTCCAACAGAAACTGAACAGGCAGATTCGAAGGATTTATTTCTTTGGAAATATTATTTTAAATACAATTAAATCAAGTTATTTTTGGTAAAACTAATGAAAAATGTAACAACAAAAAAATATAAAAAATAATATATTTTTATTTTTATTTTTTTTAATGTTTTCAAATATTATTTTTTAGAATATCTTAGGCCCTCACAGAGGGCCTAGAGGGCCCTGATGGCTCGCCACTGCTATATGGAGGAAGTAAACAAAGGAGTCCAATGGAGGCGTTTCAGGCAAGGGGGGAGTGTGTGGGGGAGAAAAACTCCCTCTGGAGGGAACTTTGAGATTTTTGCATTTTCAGAGCATATCCTCCACCTGTATGTGTGAGCATGTAAAGACACACATGCAACTATATTTGATGTTGATTTCTCTAAAGCCGTCAGTTTGTATTTATTAGCCGCAGTCCAAAGGGAGTGTTTCTGACTCACATGGCACAGTGGTGGATTCCATGGTTCTTGAGGTAATAAAGACACTGGAAGGGTTGTTATTCCCCGCCTCCGCTCTGTGATTGCAGCAATTTAACCCATTAAGAAGAGTCTGTGCTGATAAAAGTAGGAAGCAGCATGGTGGACTTGCTTTAACTTAGCATTTTTGGAATTTCATTCATTTTGTCTGCGTCTTCATCTGTCTTAAATTATTTCTTAATTTCTATGAATATTTCCGTCCCTTGTGACTCACAGGCTGAAGACGCACACAGGATTATCGTGTAGACCTGCCACCAGTGTTTCTGTCTTTCTGTGTCTTTGTTTACCCTCCTTATTATAATGGGAAAGCACATTGTAACCATTGGCTTTGTCAGACCACAGTTAATTGCAAATAATTATCGTGATGGCATTTCATTTTAGTAATTGTCTTCTTCTGGACGGCTGGTCGCTAATCCCTTCCTCCTCTGTTCTCGTGTGTGTGTGTGTGTGTGTGTGTGTGTGTGTGTGTGTGTGTGTGTGTGTGTGTGTGTGTGTGTGTGTGTGTGTGTGTGTGTGTGTGTGTGTGTGTGTGTGTGTGTGTGTGTGTGTGTGTGTGGTGTGTGTGTGTGTGTGTGTGTGTGTGTGTGTGTGTGTGTGTGTGTGTGTGTGTGTGTGTGTGTGTGTGTGTGTGTGTGTGGTGTGTGTGTGTGTGTGTGTGTGTTGTGTGTGTGTGTGTGTGTGTGTGTGTTGTGTGTGTGTGTGTGTGTGTGTGTGTGTGTGTGTGTGTGTGTGTGTGTGTGTGTGGTGTGTGTGTGTGTGTGTGTGTGTGTGTGTGTGTGTGTGTGTGTGTGTGTGTGTGGTGCCCGCTCAATATTTTTGTATGACTTTTTTCCTTCTGCCTCCCCCCGCGTTTTGCCTGCCCTTAACCCTGCACTCTCTCCCGTGACTTTTCAAAATAAGAGCGTTTTAATGCCTCTTTTATGCAGAGTTTTGTGGCTCAAATACCATCAGTTACTACCCATAATACCATATAAACCTTCCCATGATGAGATGATTAGATTGAAATGATTAGATAATTGGATAGAACATTTACTATTACAAGAGTGTGCAGAGTACAAGATTTCTCGCAGATTGCTGGTGCTAATTAACTGTGAATGTTGACTTCCTAGATCATTTCTAAAGATTAGTGTCTCTGAAAAGGAAGCAACAACAACTGTGACATGCGCTTGTGGGTAAAATGTGGGTAAATGATAACAATGGTCCCATCCCTCAGTCCCAGTGATACATCACATTTAATTAGAGTCATTTCACTTTATTGTCATTGTACAGAGTACAGGTAGAAGCCAATGCATTGTGCTAAGCAGCTACCCAGAAGTAGTGCACTGCATATACTAATAAACTATATAATTTACATAAATTGCGTTGAGTAATACAGCATAATTGATGCTAAAAGATAAAGTATACAAATGTTATATATACATTTCTCAAGAGGATAAGCCCAGTTAAAGAGTGCAAAAAGAAGGTTGAAATGTACGGTTAAAAATATAAATGACATGTTTGTCATACAATCAGTACAGCGCTAATTACATGGTGTTATTTTCTCTAATTGCACCCTTAAAATCTGTCTTTGATTTGTATAATATTTGATTAATTTTGATAATCTAAGCAATTTTGCTCAATAATGTAATACCTTTGTACATGTATTTTGACTTTCTCTTTATTTTTGGTATTGTATTGTTGTTTCAGCTTCTGTGAGTGACTTTGTTGGATTCCTACCTTGAGTTTTGGAGCTTGTTTATCATGAAGCTTGCAGTTTTTCCACCATGATATTTAGATCCTGGACATTGGGCGATTGGATAACTCACAGGAGGGCTTTTTTCTTTATAAGCTATGCTTCTGCCCTCCTGCTTTAACTAACTGTGTTTTCTTGTAGCTGCTTGTATAAATTGTATATATTAATATTGAATTAGCTGAATTAAAAAACAATTGTATAGTCCTGTCGTAGCTATACAGAGGAATGTATCCTATGTAAATCCCATAATATCAGAATAATCAAAGTCTTGGTTTCTACGTTTACTCTTTTCCTCCCGTGATCCTGCTTCAGATTATGCAGAGACTCCGAGAGAATGAGATTTACCTGCGTTGCTCAGACAGAAGCAGGTCAGCTGCTCAAATCTCAATATATTTCAGAGCTCACAGGCCAGGAGATGTTAGATCACCTTTCCCCTACACATGCGTCTGTACCTGGTTGTGTCTTTTTTCAGGTAACAAACTGCAACCTGCGTTTCATTGCATTTCCCTGAGAGCTGATTGGATTTGCGATGGGCAAGCCTTTTCACCACCGCTCGTGTCTGACGGAGCAGCAATCTCTTTAACACCAAGCGATAGATATGATAATGTACACTGGCGTTATTGTCGAGTGACAGAAGGGCAGCAGGACACACACACCATATGTTTTCCTCGTCGTCTTTTCACAGTCGCTCTCTGTTCCTTCAGCGCCCTCCTTGTCTTCAGGGGACCCCTGTGCTCGCTGAACGCCTCAGGGCACAGACTCTGTCTTTTAATCTTTAAATACTTTACTAACACATTTCTATTGTAGCTCATATTCTTTTAGAGGTTGGTACTGTGCGCCGAAGGGTTGAAATGCATCATCCTTTTTATTTTTACGACACCTATTGTTGCACTTTTGTTTTCTTGATATCTTCAAATACCTAAAATAATCAAAGGCAGAAAAGGGAAAGTGTAGATCAGGGATGAACAATGTTTTATTTAAACCGTATTGAGGAGATAAGTGCACCAAACCGTGAAAATCAAACACCCTGTTCAATGAAAAATGAACAACATGTGACAGGGCGCTAGAGAGCGATTCTCTGACAGTTCTAGGCAATCAGCTAATATTTTCTGCTCCATTTCGCAGTCTGTCATATAAAATGCCACGGCTGTCCCCAACATCAGCACAAAGAATGCATGTCAACAGTTTATTTGCACCTTTTTTCAAATGACAGCAAGAGTGAGTTCAGCTGTTCTTTTTTTAATACACTGTCCATTAAATCAATATCTTGAAGAAGGAGAAGTCCTCAATGTGGACCGGCTTAGCAGGTACTTAATTTCAGAGCAGTAATTTAGGGTTCATTTGGAGAGGGACCTGGTGCCCCTGCTGCCCTGAAGGAGTCGGATTGGCCTAATTAACTAATATGAGTAGGGCTGATTGGGCAGTAAGTAACATAATCATATCTGATTGGTCAATAACTTGCAGGTTGCCAGGGCAGATAGAGAGGAGCCTTAGGTGACCCGTCCTTCCTGGATAAAACCTAGAGCATAATGCATCTGACTGAAGAGGGATCACATTTTTACATTGCTCTTTAAAAGGGCCTGGTATCAAATCTTTATTGAATTCAGTTTTGAAAACTGTAAAGCAGAGCCTAAATGCCAAGTTGATTAATAAATAAGGCAATTGACAACAATATAATGCTATATAATGATATTAGGAATCTAAAACAATATCTAGTCGTGTTTCACAATATCGACACATATTATCCAGCCCTCTATCCACCTTAGAAACACACACACACACACACACACACACACACACACACACACACACACACACACACACCATGAACATGATTTGTTTTTGCACCACACTATGAAGTGTCTAACTGCTGTCGCTCTCTGTCCTGCAGTGTATTCTGGGATCTGTACTGCGCCGCCCCGGACCGGAGGGAGACATGTGAACATTCCAGCGAGGCCAAGGCTTTCCATGACTATGTGAGTGAACCAACCCTCCAGTTGTGTACCAGCGGCACACATATGCACACATCCAACACTCAGACACACACACACACTCACACATGCTGGTGAGGACATATGAGTGCACGCAGAGTGTGTATCAGAGAGACTGTGATAATGCTGCTGGTTCTTGTTTTGACATGTCTGGTCTGCCTGCTGCAGCCTCTGTTCTGGATGGGATGGACTCTGAGCCAGACGTCTGAAGCACGCTTTTTAAAAATGCAGCACCTATGAACACCACGTCTATATTTTATGGGAAAACCCTTCCATCTTTGAAAGTCTAATGGAGACTTTCCATGCCTTTTGTCTGCCTCTTTTTCACCTGATCAGCCGGGGTTAGGTAACTGTTTTCTAACGCTGTAGCTCAGCTGCTGGCTGCACTTCCTCAATCGCGACCCTTGACCCCTGAGGTCTTAGTGAAACCGTCGGCCAGAGGTGAAAGGTCACGTCTCTGCCTGGATATTTATTAGTCCACTGAAGGCTTCGGCAAAAGGTCAAAGCACATAAAGCAGCTGGGCGATCACACAAGCACATTACCACACACATTGGCAAACAACACATATACACATAGGACACATTTAGAGCTGCAGAGGCTTTACTAATTGTGGCTGCAGGGGCTCGGTGCGCGATGAAAGGTCGGGGTCCGCGGCCCTCTTGACCCTCTCATCCTGTGAGGAGTCCGAGCAGTCGATCAGGAATCGGACACACGCACACAAAAGAGCCAGTTAGTGAATCGAGATCCAATTGAATGTGTTTGAGGGTGTACTTTCCTGGCTCGTCCGCACTTTATTCTGCCTGAGACGTATTTGAATAAGGATTACACGGGTGTCACTGTGTTGACTGGACGCACTGCTTCAGCCACTAGATTATCGTTCCACCTGGGCAGCGGTGAAACCTGAAATGGATTAGCGGTTCTATTCTCACCGAACGCGTCTCATTCAGGCTGTTTTAGCCCACAGCCAGTCACCCATTCAGCCGAACTCTCTTATGAGGTCTGACAGCAAAAGTGTGAGCACTTGTCAGCCGAACAGATTACATTTGTTGTGCATGTACTACGAATGTGTGTGCCGGCACGACTTAATCTGCGTGTCTCCGCTCGTGTCTGTGTGTGTGCGTGCGTTGGACCACCATAAGATTAATTACATGGTTAATTAAACCTAGTAGTTAATTAAATCTGACAACTGTGTCTAATTAATCTAAATGCAATATAATTTCCCACACCTTTCTCCAGAGGTAGGCCAGCTGGATACCTGCATGTCAGCTCTTTAACGGCTCCGGTGTGACAGGCCTGGTCAATATATGGCTCGACATCAAGCTTCAAATTCCGCCACCGTAAAAAAAAGACATAAAAGTCTTTCAGTCTTTCGGCCCCATAAATCACTGAGGCTGTTGTGTATTTGAACATAGAGGAGATAAACAAATGATAACTCGTGTTCAAGTTGATATATTGGAGTGAATGATGACTGAGCTCCTTTTTTTAACAGACAAACGTTGTTGGGCTTCAAGGATTCAGACCGTGTTGTTGTTTGACCTTTGACCTGGCTCAAGTTCAGCGGGTCAGAGTTGGTGAGCTGTCTGTCTGAGAGAGCTGATCTCTTTGATAAAAACAGAAAAGAAAGGATGGTGTGAATAATAGTTTTACGCTAGAAACGTAACTGGATGGTGATTCAGGTTGATGCGACCTCCATGTCGTGCAGAAAAATCAAAGTGACAGATTTTACAAGATGCTTGTCCTTTCTTTTAAACTTTTTTATGACTTCTAACTGTTTTAAATTCCTTTTTATTTTGTAGTTTTTGTTTCGCTGTAAATTAAATGTATTCTGTATATTGGAGTATTAAATAATTTGTCAGCCTTTAAGTCATTAAGACACAGTTATATTATCTAAATTATCTTGTGCTTCTTTTTATATATTACTTTACCACAAGTCAGATATTTACTGTATTTGGAAAATGTGGAATCTTTAGTATCATTTTAAATAAAGTGATATATCTCTGAGTGTTTGGCTGCACAGCACGAGTTGGGACTGATTGACCCAGGGAGCTGCTTTTATTGATACTATTTTATAATTAAGCAACATTATTGCACTTTTTCCACTTTTTTTATGGTTTATTGCTGATTGTAAATACTGGAAATCTTTAATATCCACCCCCAAAAGGACAGTAAAGTGTGTGCTCAGAGGGTGTGGCTCTGTGAGCATGAACATGTAAGAGTAGGTGTGTTTCAGAGCACACACATGCTTTAGTGACTGTTACCCAGAGTCTGAGTGTGTTTGTGTGACACAGAGAGAGAGAGAGAGGGTGTCAGGGTCGCAGCGTGTGAATCCCCGGGGTGAGGAGGGGTCTGTCTGTCTCTGATTAACTCTGGCTCCTCAGTCCCCGCAGACCGACGGCCTGATCAAGTCTGTATCTCGGCCCCTTGCTGATAACGGCTCCCTCATTCCCCCCCGGTCCCCGCGGATCACAGAGTGAAAAACAACACGGCTCCCAGGAGTCGCTCACGCTCCGCTCTGCGTGTCGTTCAGCGGAAGAAGTGAAAGAGGAATGTGTGGCGAGATAAAGCAGGGTTTGATTGTATTTATTTCTTTATAATTTATAGTCTTCTTGGCTAGTTACGCTGTCAGTTTGTTGTGGATAACAATGAGAAAATGTTCTATAAAACTGATTTTTTTTAGAAATACATTTTCCTATTTGTTTCCTGGAACTAATGCGGTTGCTAGGCAACATTGAGCCGGTGTCACAGTGTTAGTTACAGATTTGGTTTGGCTCGGATCAGTTTGGCTCAATTTGGCCCTGGTTTTTGAAAGGCACCATTTAATCAGCTCTTTCCTACTGCCCCCCCCCCCTGCTGTGAGCGACGATGTAGACTTTGTTGACTCTCCAGTTTGGAAAAGATAATGGAATATAATGTGTTAATCCTCAAATCTGGGGACTGGTTGACAGCTAATCCAGGGGAATGTGGTGGGATTGGAGCCCTGGCCGCACTCCCAGAAACTGAAGGCCTCTGAATGGCTGCAGCGCTGCATGGCTTCACCCCTGGATGGCAAATTGACTATCATTGCCACTCGAAACTCACACATAAATACCCACACATGCAGCCACGCTTGTGTGCATATCACACACCCACACAAAAGACACTCAAAGTAAGCGAGATGATACCGAGCCTGAAGTCTTGTACCTCTGTAAAGTCATTTGAGTGCTCTCTCTTGTTGTCTTAATTGTCAGAGTTGTGTTTCTGTCCTTCCTCTTCACATTGCCGTTTAATCATGTTTATTTTCTTAAAGAGATCCACATCTTACAGTATATTCTTCTTTTCTGCTGGAATTTGGACGTTCCTCAAAAGAGCACT